TCCTCTGGGGAGTCAGGCTCCTCTTCCTCCGCTTGGTCCGCCGTCTCAAGAGACAGACCCTTCATAGTGATGCCGTCGAGGTTGAGCCCAGAGAACTTTTTCCGAACCAGCCACTGACAGAGCTTAAACCCAGAGCGGTACGAACTCGAACCATATTCCACTCGGAGGTCGTGGTATTCCTAGGAGTCTCTAAAATCCCAGACCACTTTCTCTCATTCAGCCTCCACCATCTGATCAAAGTTTCGAGTCCGATCTAGAAGAGTGGACTCCAAGTCCTGTACCTGCTGCCTGAGGAGCTCCCTCTCCGCCGCCACCCTCGATGGCTCCTCCCTGTAACGCGCGCTCTCTTCAGAAAGCCGGGCAATTTGATCCTCTGGGTTGTGGACGAGCAGCTCTTGAGACTCGCTCCCCTTGCGAGTGTGATGGAGCTCGCCCTGGAGCATCTTATTAGTAGCACGCTGGTCGAGGGCGTCGCCGCGGTGGACGCACGTCTGGAGAGCCATGGCATGGATGGCGGAATTCACCTGCCAACAGAAGAGAAGATTAGAGGTTAGTGAAAGGGAGCAAGATGAGAGAAGAAAAAGGAAAGGAGTCACTTACCACCATGCAGTGGGCGGAGGCAAACGCGGCGAGGTCCCAGGGCTCCATATTCCCCCAGTGAGCAACCTCGTCGTTACTAATCGCCTTTTGGCTCCTTCGGTGAGCCACGAGGTAGTCGTTCACCCCTTCCCAGTTTCCCACTGGGAACTGGGGGTAAGGGCGTGACTGGAGCGGATTACAAGGAGCCTCCCCCTACTGAGGGAGCTCGTCCCCTCCGAAACCAACCCACTAGTTCCCTCGGGTGGGGGTGCCAGAATCTCAGGCGGAGGGGAGGATAAAACCGGCTCAGCAGACCCGAACTCAGTACCTCCCGAGCGGGGAGTCCACTCGGGACGCGTCCTCTTCGCTTGGTGCCTCTGGTTGCTCGAGAGAAGGCGGCGCGAATTAGTACTAGACATGATGGCTGCCAAAAAGAACATCAGTGTTAGTTCAGTAAGAATGAAATATATGCATGCGAATGTGAGTACGATGTCGTTACAGAAACCACGCGACCTAAAAAGACAACCTACCCGGGCTCAGGCCGGCCTGCACGAGCTTCTCCTCGGCCAAGTAGTCCGAGCAGAGGAAGCCTACCGATGCCCAAGACAACATCGTTTTCAGAGTTTTTGGGTCCAGCTCGGCCCCGGGGTCCTGGATGGCACCCCTCCAAGAAGTTGGGAAGGGCCACCCCTCAGGGTTGTAGACCACAAAGTAATCTCGCTTCCAGGCGGGAATCTTATTCGGCAGCTCATACAAGAGCTTATAGCTGCGACGGGGAGAGAGGTAGTAAAAGCACCTCTCCGGAGGAACCCCAAGAGCAGCATTTTTTATACAAAGAATAGAGGCAAAATTATCAAGGTTCAAGGGAAGACACTACTCGTAACACAAAGATATAGTCCCAACCATGTTTCGAATGGCGTTGGGATGAAGCTGGTCAATGGTGACGTTAAAATGATTTAGCACCTCCACTATCAAGGGGTGTAGGGGGAGACGCAAGCCAGCCTCGAGCTGTTCCTGGAAGATTACTATGTCATTGGGACCATGCTCCCAAGGGAAGTTGCCAGTAGGGAGACTGTAGACCAGGTCCCCAGGGAGGCGAAAGTAGCGGATTAGAAACCAGAGTCTCTCCGCTGTCATGGAGGAAGGGCCAAAAGTGTCAGACTCCCTCCCCCTAGAAGTAGATGCTACATCGTTGGAGGCCTCTCGAGCCTCCGGGATCTACTCCCAGGCTCCCCCCGAGCTCGAGGGAGCATCGTCGTCCTGGTTATTGCCCCGGTGGTAGGTGTGGTATGGGTACCCAGACATGGTTGACAGTGATTAGGACTAACCAGAAGAGACGAAACGAAGCAAACTGAGGAATTTTGGTAGACTAGATGAAGTGCGCGACCTCAGAATCCGAAGACAGCAAGATGGCATGGGAGAAAATGAGGCCCAGAAGGCCCCCTATTTATAGTCTCCACTCTTCCAAATTGACGGCCCATATCAAAGCAGATCCAACGGCCCGCGGGCGCACTGACCGCACGCCTTCTAAAAACTGAAGGTGATTGGCGGCACGTCTTCCATGATTAAGGAAATCACGGCCGCACGACGTTCAGAGTTAAGAGCCACTTCAGCACGTTTTCGGAATCCGAAAAGTCAGAAAAGTCAGAAAATCTCTTGATTCCCGCGAATGCATTTAATGTGAGTAGTCAATCAAGTTTGAATTTCGGTCAAATCTGTCCATCGCGCTTCATAAACTCCTCGCGCTAAGACCGTGCTCTCAGCCTGAGGAGTGGGGGGCAATTGATGGAGGACGATTTGACCCAACCTATGAAACAGTGACACATGGACGTTGACTCAGCACGAGCGACAGCTCAGGATTGTAGCCTAGTGTGACCAAGTGACGGGCCCATAAGCAGCCCGCTACATTGTAGCTCACAAAAGGAGAAGCTCGCCACAACGCGAGCTCCGGGTTCCCCGAGCTACCTTTGAAGAGATACTTCGAGGCAACTTTAGCCCGCGAGCTAAAGTTATTAGCTCGTTCGAGCTCCCAAGCAGACAAGTCGTCCCAAGGACCAATTCTACTAAGGATAATCCTGGAGTGTTCCAAGCTCGCTACAAAATAGCTCGCGAATGAGCCGCATGAGCGCCCCTCCGGAAGCTTCTAACTGACAGACCGTACCGGTCAGATTGCGCCATATCCCTTACTGACAGCGCAGTCCCAGTCCTTTTGGCAATCTGCGTCCACGTCTCTCAGCAGGCAAGGGCGTGCCTGCCACTTTGGAGACGTGTCACTCACCCGGGTGAGACGTACGCCACAACGGCCACCTGCGCAGCCCTGGCAGGTAACGACTGCGGCAGGAGCCCAGTGATGGTTATGTCCGACCTGACGTGAGTGCCCCTATAAAAGCCCTCAGGGCAGAAGAGAAACTTCTTCTTGAGACCTTTAATCTCTCGAGTATAGTGAGAACGTGCTATTTGCACTCTTAAGTCCTACAAAGTACTAACTTAAGCATCGGAGTATCCCCACCGGGTAAACTCCCCGGGGATTCTTCTTCTTCTTCATCTCCGGTACCTTCCAGGAGCCACGCGAATGCTAGCTAGGAGTGACCAGATCGCGCTACATCAGTTTGAATTAGACCTAAACCAAATTTCCAATAATCCAATTATGAGGCCAAAGCCTTGTCCAATTTGAAATCAATCAAAATTGAAAACAACATAAAATCACTTTTATGAAAGTACTTTTACGAAAACATTTTTATAAAAGCACTTTTATAAAAGTAATTTTATGAAAAGTATTTTTACGAAAGCACTTTTGTAAAATTTGTAAAAGCACTTTTACACAAGTGCTTTTATGAAAGCACTTTTACAGAAGTAGTTTTATAAAAGCACTTTTACAAAAGTGCTTTTTTAAAAGTACTTTCACACGCACTTTTATGAAATCACTTTCACAAAAACTTTTACGGAAGTACTTTTACGAAAGCACTTTTATAGAAATACTTTTATAAAAGCACTTTTATGGAAGCACTTTTAGAAAATCACTTTTATGGAAGAACTTTTATGAAAGCACTTTTACAAAAGTACTTGTATGAAACCACTTTTATAAAAAAACTTCTACGAAAGTACTTTTGTGAAAGCACTTTTTTAAAGTACAAAAGCACTTCTACAAAAATACTTTTATAAAAGCCTATGGAACTACTTTCAAAAAAGTGCTTTTACAAAAGCACTTTGCGAAGTATTTTCAATAAAGTGCTTTTGTAAAAGTACTTTTATGAAAATATTTTTATCAAAGTACTTTTACAAAAGCGTTTTTTCAATGCTAAAAGTGCTTTTATATAATTTTTGATATTTCATTCGGTTTGGATTGGATCCAATCCTATCCATTTACATTTTAATGGATTGGATTAAATTTGATTTGTATTGGATTTGGACTGAATTGGGTTCAGTCCATTTATAAGTGGACTCACATCGGACTGGATCGGGTTGGACCAAATTCGTCTAATTGACACCGGCTGAAGAGGAAATTGAGAGGGAGAGAGGGCGTGTGAACTAGGGGTGATCATTTCAGCTCGGGCCGGAAATTCTGGGCTTGGGCCTAGGTTTTGTGTTTAAGCCCAACCCGAGCCCGAGCCCCTATTAGGCCTGCAAATTTTAGGGCCGGGCTTGGGCTTAATACTTCAAGCCCGATCCGCATATATTTAAACTTACACATTTTGCGTATAATGTATACATATGTATACATGTTATTTTACATATATAATATTTTATATATAAATATATATAATATTTTATATATAAATATTATAACATGACATGTATAATTTATATTATATATTATATAATATATAAAATAAAAATTTATGTGCATGTTATGTCATTTAATATAAAATATTATAGATATGTAATATTTTATATATGAAAGATATTGGCCCGAAATCAGGCCCGGCCCGATTCGGGCCCATGAAAATTTGGGTTAGGGCTTATGTTACAAGTTCGGAACTCCGGACTGGGTCATGCCCGGGCCTAAGCTATAGCCCTTAGACTTGGACTAAAGCTTATGTTATAGGCCCAAAACCCCGGGCTGAGCCGGGCCCGAGCGTAAGCTATATCCCTTATCATAAATGCCAAGCCCGGCCCGGCCCATGATCACCTCTAGTGTGAACGCGAGATGAGGAGAGAGGGGAAATGAGAGGACAAGGGAAACGAAGCGATAGACAAAAGGTTTCTGACAGACAACCTCGAGCGGCAAGCCGTTACACGCGGCATGCTTTGATTACTAGAGACAACCGGTTTTTTGCCCAAATGAAATAGCATCACATTTTTAGGGCATTATAAGGAAAAAACCCAATAAATCACTTAGATTCCAAATAACGCATTCTCAGCCTTTCCTCCGTACACGTTTCATATATTTGATACATTGATATATCGATGGATTCTTTTTTGATAGAAGATATATTGATAGATTTTTTTTTTGGTAGAAATATTGATAGTTAGATACATTGTACATCGAGGCTCGAGGGTTAAAATGACGTCTCAGCTCACAATCTGCCCTGAAGGCCTCAATGAGTCAATGGAAGCCGTCTTTCTTTAATCCCAATTCTCAACAGACATTATACACCACGAGCCACAGCCACGGCGCGTAACCTCAAAGTCAGGAGTCCGATTCAGTTTTACAAGTTCCGAAAGGCCCGACGAGAGAGCTAGACGGGAACCGGAAAGAAGGGGTTTGAACTTTGAAGAAGATCTCTGCCGAAGAAAACCTCCTCCAGTTGCCCTGTATCGGTACGAAAATGTTGGGATGCCATGTGAAATGCCTCCACATGAATGACACGTGTTGATGGTTCTAACTCATGTCTGGAATGCTGGTTGTAACTCTTACAGCTCTAATTCATACAAGGTAAACAAGATATTCTCACCTGAAATGAAATTCCATGCAGTATACAATACACTGGGTCTGCTATTAAACCTATAGATTTTTCTCTTGCAGCCTTAAATAATTTAAACAAGGATTGAGAGCCCTGATTCTCTGTCTCAGAAGACTTGCTCAGGGATGATACTGATCGTTCAGCGGCTGCTGCAAGAAAACAAGCACGGATGGAAGAGAGGTATATACTACATGCATCTTAGCTGTGTTTCGGATGTGACAATGGTTTCCTTCGTTTCTATGCGAAACAGCCAAAGTGGGTCTTTTTATTTGGGATATTTTTTTTATGAAATATATATCATGCCTGCAACTTACATACAGCATACTGCCAATTTTCTGACTGAAATGACTGTCCAAGTTTTATCCCTGGGTAGGCTATAAAGAATTTAAAGTTTCCTTCTGGCATACAAAGCTTGTTGGTTTTTTTAATTTCCTTCTGTTTCTATTGCAGAGCAGACACTGAGCAATCCATGACATATTCATTCGTTTAGGATGCGATTGGCATAATTTAAGTGTGGTATGCATTTAGCTTGGGCCTTTTGTTTAGTTCAAGTGCATTTTGATGTAGGACTGAAAGGTGAAAATGGATGTTGCAAAGATATTAGAGCTTGGGTCAGTTACTCAGGTTAGCGGGAAATGGTCTTAAATTTCAGAATAAAACAGGTAAAATGGGGGAAACAAGAGTTTTGGCCGCCTAGATCACCAGAAGTGGGCAGTTGTATTTGTCTAAGGATATATTAGTTTGGGATGGCAGATTAAATGGGATAAATTGAGAAGCAGAAGAGGATAACAATGAGGAAGGATCAATCCACTCTTCATATGGCAATGTGGCACCTACCCTGTTAAATCCCCCATTGCACATGGTGTCTTCCCTTTTCATAGCTCATATCCCGCCATTATTGCCTTTGCATGCAACACAATTTCACAGTTAATCTGTTGCATAGAAATAATGATATAGTGCAGAATAATAGGGACCTACGTTCTCTACTTCCTTGTTTTACTCATGTTCCAAGCATAAGTTAAGCATTCATAAGATCTTAAATATTAAAGTTTATCCATCATGATTTTATAAATATTGTACACTGTCAATTGTTCTGTTTTTTTACTCCAAGTTTTGCTCAACTCTGGCACCATCTAATTGGTTCCATAAAAAAGTTCTGTGTTTGCGACTTCCCTGACTAGGGTTGTCTTAGTTTTTATATAATGTCAAAATTGCTTACCCTCAAAACAGTCCAAATGATCCTTTTTATCTCTATACTCAGTTGTTTCTCTCTAGCAAAGCTATTCTCCTATGGGGATTTACGTTGATATCTGCTCATGAATTGTAATTTTGAACCACATAGGCATAGATAAAATAATGGTTCTTGAACCACTTCGTTCTCTCTGATCTTCCCTATAGATTTTAGATAGGCAGATCTTACTTCCTTGCAGAACCATAAGAGCAAGGAACTCTGTCCTTTATTTGATTACAACCATGAAATTTGACCTAACGGAAATCAGAATACTGCCTCCTTCCTCAGACAGAAGCAGATGACAGATGATAAGGATGAGGTCCCTCTTGCTCATGTTTCATTCAGCTTGGTGAATTTTTGGCTTGAACCTCATGCTCAAATGCCTGTCCATTGCTAAGGTTACCTGCAGCAAGAAGCACTAAAGTGGAGGACATTGCTGGCACTTGTTTTCTTTTCTTTCCCTCACCAAACTGGTGACGCTATTACTCATAAATACAAAAAGCCATCTAGAAATTACATGGCAGCTGGTCAGAAGACAGAACTAGAGATGATGGTGCAAAGACTAAAAGAGGAGTAAATTTTGAGATTGAAGCATTATCAGCGACTTTAGTTTCTTTCTTGTTGTCTGAGGAGTTCATGTTACCTAAAGTTCCAGGTGGTCTGTACATCAAGCGACATAAATATTTGCCTTCACCATGCAAAATGCTATTTTCATTCTCAAGGAGCTCTTTCACGATGGAAAAATGCAAAGGGAAAAAGAACAGAGTGTCAGTTCTCTTCTTGGGATGATTGGGAAAGCAATAAGTCGGATGCTGACAATGTTCCTGACTGATCAACATCAAGATTTTCAAACTCCTCCATTAGAAGTGCGACATCCTCTTGGCTAATCTTTCCCATCTCTTTGAGTTTGTATATGATAAATTCAGCAGCACTGAGGGAAATGAAACACAAGAATCCATAATCATTAATTCATTAGAGGAAAAGTACGCCATTAGCAAAAGCTAAGCATATTTGGCAAAATAACATTGAGTGATGAAAAAAAAGTATGATTTCAGTCTCAGCATGTACATGTCCAATTTGATGCAAATCCCACTTACCCAACAACACCATCATCATCAAGATCTGCTGCCTCAAGATCTACAGACGTCATCCTCCTGGTGAGAACCCACTTAACAAGCAAGTGCTGTCTGTGCTCGGTGTTGAGCTCAGCAAAGTAGAGGAAAAACTGAGCTAGACAGATAGTACTGGTCAATATCCAAAACACAGCAAAAATACGGCCCATCTCAGTTGAGAAGCTTTTATCCCCATATCCTAAAGTCGTTATAGTGGAACACACACAGTAGAAGGCATCAACAAGATCTAAATTCTCAACTTTATTTAAAAAGATTGTCCCAACCATTATTAGCAGCAAAAGGAGGATTAAGATCACAAGAAACTTGTATTTCACTCTTTTGGTCTCAACTTCCTTGAGAATATCAATAGTTCCAATTTGATACATGTGTAAAGCTTTAACTAATAGCACTTCCTGTTTTTCTACAAGATAGTCCGCTGCATTACTAAGAATTAGCCCAACAAGAGCCATTCCCATAAAAACAAAAGCACAAGCAAGTAGTTTTGTGGGGGTGCTATCAGGCACAAGGTCTCCATATCCAACAGTAGTCATTGTAACAACACAGAAATACACAGCATCGAGAATCTCATTTGTTTTCTTGCCTTTGATAGGTTTATTAACAAGGGCGAAGCATATGGTGCCTACACCCAGGTAGAGAGTCAAGAACAAAACCACCTGTACAAAACTAGGATGGAATTTCCCAAAGATGGATTCAGAACGTGGAAGCAAGCCTCCACCATCTTTCAATCGGAGAGCAATTTCTGCAGTGGGAGCACTTTTACAGCGGCGGAACCTCCTTTTCTTAGTGGCATTCTTTTGACTTAGTTGAGAAGGAGGATCTAATAATCCCACAAGCAACGGCTGTTCTCCACTGTTATTGGCCATTGTATGATTCAACAGAGTTTTGTTTACCCTCAGGATTCCTGCACAACTATAGTAGCTTGTTATCTTAGCTTATGTTTGGAGCATTGCTGTCAAGGCAAGTAGGTGAACATAGTCGGCACTCGGCAGCAGTTGCTGATCCACCAAGGAACCAAGCCAGAGCTACTCTAATTCAATTGGAGATACGTAAGACTGGAGATGGGCAACGGGTCATTGACCATCCAGCACTCGCTATAATGCTGAAAAAGCCCTTTTAACCTCTACTCATGTCTCCTCAATCCAATTCATTGACCCATTTTAGGTCTGGATGCAATTTCAACCTACTTGAACAGAGTCCAGATTCTCTAGTCCAAATGATTGATGAATATCAAATTCCAGAGTAATTTTATCACTGAAACAGATACACTGATTTTGAAAAATGACCTGCATGTGCTACAGACATGGAGGACTAGAATATCTACTTCGGTTTACAGAATAAGAAATCAAAACTTATTTCCATTTGTTTTCTATTGGATCCAAGGGAGAAACTAATATCATTCCCATATTTGTTTCTAATGTTTAAATGACTTAGACAAGGGTTCTTAAGCACCATACCTGATACATCAACATAGTCTCATGCCAGGGGTAAATACCAAAACACTCAATTGCCTACTTGTCCCTGTCCCAACCTTAGCCATGCTCATGGTTCCTAGCAACCTAGGTGCCACATAGATGGTGCATTAGAAACACTGCTTTAGGCCAAAGGCATAGTATTACATTCCAAAATTAAACCGGGAAGTATTAAGTATAGTAAATACTCAGGATCAGCATAACCACCATACCAAAGTGGTTACAGATTGAATAAAATGCAAATATATAATATAGGCTGCTTGGTCTGTTCTTCACTTGTTAATTTCGATCAAGCATGAAGAAAGGAAATTAGAATGAAGCTTGGGGGCCTCAAAGTTTTATAACTTTATATATACAATAGAAGTAAACAGAAGATCACATGTTTAGTTTCCATGGTGCAATGAAAAGATGAAATCCCAATAGCACAAACAAAACAGAGAGTACGCCAGAAATCATCGGTGTTTCAGGGTATTGGAAGACGAGGAGGAATTACCAGCATTAGCATTGCGGTTGTGGCATATTGGTATCTACAATATTACAGTTTTGTTGTGTTCTAAGTAATTTAAAAATCATTTTATTGACTAAAATTTTCCTGTAAATTTACAAAAAAACAAAAGATTCGTTATCATCTAAAAATGAATTTAATTTGACAATAATTAAATTACCATCAAACTTGCATAGAATTATTCCAGCACTTAATTATCTGGGTGTAAGAGGGGGGGGGGGTCATATGAGAGGGAATCGTTTTATATCGGCCAGATGCATTCAGACAAGGACAAGAAAAAACAATAGTTAAACATTTCGAGATGTCCTTCACTCACCAAAGGGATAAGAGAAAAAAAAAACGGTAGAAATAAGGAGAAAAAGCCTGAAAGATGTCATTCACTCACCAAAGAAAAAGCCTGAAAGAAAGACCGTAACAACGGACATAGATTAAAGAAGGAAAGGAAGAGGAAAGAGAATCGGACTTTACCTCCGACAGAGAGATGGTTTGCTTTTGGAACTTGGAAGAGATTTGCTCAGGTCACCGCCCAGAATAAACTGGAAGATATGAAATCGACTATTAGTCCGTTACCCAGTAACTGTAATCCATCTTGTCTCCGCTTAGATTAGATTTAATTTTCAGTAGAATTGGGAATGTGCCTGCAATGACGATGTGACACAGAAGCAAGGTTCAGTGGTTGGCTCATGTGGCCGCAAGGTCCGCCGAGTCACTCCCTTTCACCGAGTTCAGATGATAAGATCCGAACTCCCATTCCGTTCCCTTTGACTGTGGCCGTATAATTTGCCACGTGGCATTACAGTGAGGACCCAACCTGTCGGGTTGGAGTCTATGTTCGCTCCTTCACTGAATCGAGCATTCCAGCGATGGGAAAAAATACTTTTCCATGAAGAAGCTCTTTGACACACTGCCGTCCTTGTTAATTTTACTCATGCCATTGTGAACGTCCTCGCGATTTATCTTCATTCTTCAACAATGATTTCGGGTGGAGTTCACTTTTGGGTTTTGGCTACTCGCACCACTTACCTCTTACATGGATATTTATATAAAAGTAGGGCTGCAACTGGGCCGGGCCTTGACCCAGTCCAAGCTTCTGCAGTTCTGCTCAAATTCAGCTTGAATTCTCAAGTTCTAGGAGACACATTGGACTTGGATTGGGTTGGGGCGAAGTTGGATTGGACTTGGGTTAGGGCCTAAGGTAGTCCAGCTTGACCCAAGTTCAACCTAACCTCACCTTCTACGATATACTTATCCATGTTTATATGCTTGTTCTATATTTCCGATGAGCACATATGTATATGTGTATATAAATTGTATTTTTATTTTGGGTCATTTATTAAAACCTCCTTTATAGTTTCATAAATTTACTAAAACCTATTTTATAGTTTGTGTTTTATTAAAACATTTCCTATAATTTGTAATCAATTTACTTAATCAATCTTCTATTAGATGAAAGTGGAAAATGACAGTTTTAACCAGTGTTTTCAAATTGTTGTTGACCCGGATGGTCAGACCATTCAGTTCGGGACTGGTTCCGTTTCACCCTTAATTTGTTTTTGGTCCAAAAACCATTGACTTGGTCAGAAAACTACTGACCTGGGCAGTCGAACCGTTAACCCATTTGACTCGAACAACAGTTCACGGTTAATAAGGAAGCAGAGGAGATTGAGAGGTGTGGAGGGACTGAGACAAAATGATCTCAGATCTGAGATCATCGGGATCCCTGAGAGAGAGAAGAGAAATCAAATCTCATATCTTAGAACTGAGATTTCAATTCTCATCTAAGATCAAAGACAGATACGAAGGTTGCCCCTTGCCACTGCATTTCTATTCCTGCCGTTGCCATCACCGGTGAATGCCGTCGTTGTTGCCGTCTCCTCCTCGTCCTTCTTCTCTCCTTCCCTCCATTTCTTCCTTTCTTTCTTTTCCCACATTCCTTTCTTTCCTTTCTTTCTCTCCTTGCTTTCTTTCATTTCTTTCTTACTTTCCTTCTTTTCTTTTTTTCTTCTTTCTCTTTCAGTTGACAACCACATATATGTCTCTCTTTTCTCATAAAACACTAAAATAATGAAGCCCTAATATTCAAGTCTCATCAAACCGCCTGAACTATTCGACCCAAACAATTGAACCCTTGACCTGGAAACCAGTGGCCACAACAATTCCATTTCCAGTCAGTTTTTAAAACCTTGGTTTTAACCCCAACATCTATTCAAATAAATTTAATCAAAATAAATTAAAAACAAAATACCATTTTCCCTTACTAAAATACAGACAACCACTCGATTTTTCTCTATTTGGTCAATTTTGTTTTCTATACAAAAAAAGTGTTAGGGGTACTTTTGGAATAAACAACCATGGGTTCAGGACCTTTAACATTTTCCCACTTATTTTATGTGATCATATTACTATTTTTAGATGGCAAAACAAATAGTTCTTAATGAAAGGTCGATTAAGTAAATAGCAGGGTGAGCATGAGTTGGTTTGGCTCCATGGCAGAACTTGGAACCTACCCTATAGGGTTCGTTCCAAGTTTTTGGAACTGGAACCTACCCGGTGAAGGTCGGTTCTGGCCTTGGTGGTTCTAGGGTCTACCCATGGAACCTGTACTTTCTTTACTCCTCCCTCACAAAAAAGTATGTTTTTTAAAAACTTGATTTTTAATAAATATAATATATAGTTTAAAACTTTTTTCTTAATTAAATTGGATAACTCAATAAGTAGATTATCATTATATGGTTAAAAACTTATAAATTAACTTTAAATTTTGTAAATATTATCTTTTTTTTTCGAACCCTAAACTTTACTCCAGGTGGAGGGGCAACCACCTTAAATTTTATTAACCATTTTCGAACCCCAAACTTAGCCTGCCTTGCCCCATAACCCAAGCATACATAGCTCTCTCTCACCATCTTAGGCCCACCCAAAGAAAAGCACAAAAAAAGTCTAACAAAACCTAATTAATTCTAAGGATAGGCAAACCCAAATTATCTTCGTGAACAAAACAAGCCAAATCTCTAGGAATTTGGGAATTACCATTGATCACTTTACGCGTGCATCTTTCACCAATTCCTTTGTTAGCTAGGAGATCAGCACAACGATTTCCCTCTCATAAGATATGGGTCCACCTAATATTCATTCTCTGCACTAAGTTCTTAATCCTATGCAAAATGTAAAGAAAATTCCAAGGATAATCCGATTTACCCATTAGAATGTCAATAATTATTCTGTTATCACTTTCAACCTCAATCTCTTTATAGCCTCCTTGCAAAGAAAGGCTTGGACCATCCACATTCATCTTGTGAGCAAAATTACTTGGAAATTTCCAGCTAACCCATTTGTATTTGTTTTGTTTTGAAGTTTTCCTAGGGTCATTATCCATATTTGAAGGATCATTAGTAAGAGTCCCTCAACCATTTCTTAATATTTTCTATAAGTAATAAGGATGAAGAACCTTACCTTCATATATACATTTATATTTTTCTTTCCATATGGTCCAAAGGATTATAGATGGAGTGATGCAAATAACTTGATTCACTTGAGTATCTCTTTTACAAACATTCCACCAATGGAGAATTAGATCCTACATGTTGAATAGGATAGATGGGAATGTTAAAGAGATTACTAAAGTAAGATTAAACTTTAGAAGCCATAACTCCAATGGAAAATAAATGATTAAATGATTCCACCCCATGATTACCACAACAAAAACAGTTGGAAGCCAAATTAACACCTCTTCATGATATGATCTCATCAACTGGAACAACACCATTCATAAATCTCCACATAAAAATGGTTATTTTAATTGAGAGATTAACCTTCCAAACAAATTTAAACCAGTAGATTGCTACCCATGATTCCTAATGATATTTCAAACAGATTTTGTAGTGAAAGAGCCACTTTGATTAAGTTTCCAAATTAACCTATCATCTTCATTGCTTAAACAACAATTTGAGTCCATAGCTCTCTGTTGAATGGCATGAGGATTAATTCCAACATCATGAAAAGACCATAGCCCTCTTGGTTCAAAACCTTATTTAAAGTAAAATCCACAACTTTAACATCACTTTCATCAATTTGACAAATCAAAGGCCCAAAAATCCAATCAGTTATCATATCAAAAGGAAATTTCACCTTTCCCTATTATCCATTGACAAGAATTAATAGCAATATCTTTGATCTCCAACATCTCTTTCCAAAATCTACTACTAGAGGAAGGAGTAGTGAGAAAAGTTAGACATGTGGATTTTATATATTTTGATTTCATAAACTTTGCCCACATGCCCTCTTTTTTAATGATTTTAAACCAAGCTTTTAACCAGAAAGTCTTAATAATATCGAACATGGATCGCATTCCCAAACTCCCTTCATCAATAGGGTTACAATTTTTTGTCCATCCAATCCAATGTTTTTTGTTTCCAAAATTTAAGGCTCCCCACAAAAAAAATATCCAACATTCAATGGACCATGTGGATCACTGTTTTGGGAGGAAAAACAACTCCAAGGACATGGATTAATTGACTTTGGAGGACATGCTTAATTAAATTCAAACGCCCCCCACTACTTAAAAGCTTGGCCCTCCAACCATCAATTTTGTTTTTTATTTTTTGCAAAATAGGTTCAAAGTCCTTAATTCAAAGACATTCTTTTTTTTCCAATAGGAGCACCCAAGTAAACTAGTTACCTATTTTTTGCAAAATAGGTTCAAAGTCCTTAATTCAAAAACTAGTTACCTGTTTGATCATATTCACCTTTGAAGCACCCATGTTTTGATGAACAATGAAGCAAGAATTTTCTTTATTCACCAATTGTCCTGAAGCTTTCTAAATAAATTGCATCAAGTTCTGCAGACCTCTTTTATTACCTTTTGAAAAAATCATTGTGTCATTAACAAACAGGCTATGAGAAATGAAGTCAACCTCTAGGAAGAGCAAAAAAAGGAACATCCATTTTCATAAATAACACGCAAACCTCTACTTGATACCTCTTCTGCTATAATAAACAAACTTGGTGAAAGAGGGTTTCCTTGTCTTAAACCTCTAGTTGAATGAAAGTATCCTACTGGAGTACCACTTATAATTACAGAAAACCAATAGCTGCACATGAACAATTTAATCACTTCTGTCCAGATACTGCTAAAACCAAAACATTGAAGAGCTAACAGGACAATTTTCCAATTCATTCTATCATAAGCTTTTGCAATATCCAATTTAAGAATAACATTACCTCCTCCTAATTTTCTATTCATCTCCCCATCCATTTCTTGCACCAAATTGATGTTATCACTTATATTTCTACCTTTGACAAAAGCAACTTGCTCTGTAGAAATAATCTTAAGTAGCACCCTTGCTAATCTGTTTGCCAGCAATTTTTCATAAATCTTATAACAAAAGTTACAAAGGCTTATTGGTCTTAAATCTGCCAAATACTTGGGATTTCCTTTCTTCGGGATCAAAACAATAAAAGTTGAAGTGTAGTATCTTGGCAAACACTTACTGTAAAATATTTCTTTAATGGCCTTAATTACATCCATGCCAACAATGTCCCAACAACTAATGAAGAATGAGCCATCAAAGCCATCTAGACCTGGAGCACTTTCATGGTTCATAGAAAAAACTATTGGATTTGATCTCTTCTTCATCAGTAGGATCCACTGCCTTTGCTTTAATATTATTAATGTTTGAGACTTCTTTGTCATCAACCCAAATTTTATTAATATGTGAATATTTTCTGTGGACCTTAATAGTGGAAGATAGTATTTAGAGTTTCGATCCCCTTCTCTAAACCGTTTCTCGCAAGATTTTAGTCCTAAAAATATCTCCCTTTAAGCTAACATTTGGTTTAAATTATCTCTAGAATTCTGGACAGCAGCTTTATTTTCATCAGAGTTGTCTCTCTCTACTTTAGCTTCTGCCTCACACACCTTCCCATTCAGCTTGTTGGACATTGGCAAAAACATTACCAAACACACTCTTATTCCATTCTTT